GTTTGTTTTCTCTCTCCTCTACTATATAAACATCTCTCTTACTCTTACTTTCTATTGACTCCGACGAAGGACTAACGTCCGAAACGTCAGTTACTATTTTCACTACGGTGTATATTATCATTCTACGATAACTTTTTTCCTGCTGTGTTATTGGTTAACAGCACTGCTCTCAGCCAACCAGAATCGAGTAAATTCTTCATGTATATTATTCGTGCAATTACATATTTATTACATGCAGGATACATACAACAAGCCGGCCGCCCTCTCTAATCAGCACAGAAATCAAAATATAGAATCTTCATTATGCAATGGTTTTTTCCATCTTTTTTCTTCTCTTTTTGTCAATGCAACGAGAAATGAAAATAGAATAACAAAGTTTAAATATGTTGATTTCATCTGTACATCGTCAGTTAAAAAACTATACAGGATTTTTTGTCAAAAAAAAATTGAATTTATATATGGAATTGAGCTTTTCCTACAGAGTATTAACACATATAATTCTCATATATTAGATGTCAAAGATACAGAAAAACATTTTTTTCCCTCTTTCCCTTTTTGATTAGTTTTTCTCTCCTTTATCCTTTCTCATTTTAGACCACAGAGCTTGTAGCACAAGTGCTATTTTCCCTGTTTTGTTTGGCTGATTTCTAACATGCCCAGCTAAGTGTAAGGATTTAAGCCTGAGAATCAAGCCCAGTTCTAAATCGAGAGAACGTTATGTGAGTGCAGTCATCATACTACTGGCTCAACATCGATACATTACTTCTTAACAACTCTTTTGCTTTGTGTTTTGGGGCTTTAAATAAGCACATCTGTCCAACTTCCTGGCCAAACAGTATTGTTAGGCTATCTGTGGTGAATGTCTTTTGCTACATAAGATAGATGTTAGGCAACACCAAGGTTTTATTATGATGACAAGATTAAATAAGGTGATGATTTGTGTTTGTCATTCCTTATTTTCCTTTCCTTGGCTTGAGCTCTTCTGCACAACTTCGCAGAAATATTTTTGGTTTGACTTGAGGATTATAGCACTCGTGTCCCTGGTAAAATAGAAAACATGTTAATAAACTATTAATGTCATCAGTAATACATCTTAGAATTCTATTCTACTGTCTTCCAAATAGAAATTGCTGTTCTGGTTCCTTAAATAGAAATAATTTCTGGTCTTAGGAGGAAGTTTTACCAGCTGTATGGCAGATAGAACAGAACAGTACATGGATAATTGAGCAGTAATAGCACTGTTTTCATGACCTTCAATAAAGGAACGGTCGACGCTTAGCAAGTATATATCCTATTCTGGATGCACATAGGAGGTCGCTATGCATAAAATAAGTGAAAGAGTTTCTTCTTCAAAGCCATTCAATCAGAGCTTATGTTATATTGTGGCTCTGTCATAACAAAGAATGGTCATGAGATTCATTCAGATTGTTGATACCAAGCAACTACCGTACAGCAAGAAGACCCTTCCAGGTTTGGCATGTTTATCTACTAATCATGATAATCATGTACTTATGACCAGCTAACACCTTCAGTCCACAATCAGCTGACKGATAGTATCTCAAGTGTTACCAGAAAATAAAGAAAAAATACTCAAGGGAATGGTAGGTGGTCTGAATCAGGAGAGCATTGCTGTATGCTTGATCTGCAGAGGTCTATAATTGATATCTTACCTTTGACCAGTCATATCCAGATGCATAGGCAAATATGTTTCCCTTYGAATTAAAGCAACAGCTGGTAATGGGAAGATTGAGCTGTTCTGAGGTCTATAACACACAAAGATTTAAAAAAAACATTCAATATGTTTGAAATTTGAAAGGTTAAATCTGGGGGATAGTAGATTGGGGGGATAGTAGATTGGGTGGCTAGCCACATGATCTTCAGAACATATAGGTTGACGTAATATATGTTACAAACATTACTGTTGTGATTTTAATTTGCTAACAATTTTATCAATAGGTTTTTTCACTTTGCTTTGTTGGATTATCTAAAAGATTTCTGTTTGGCAATTTAAATATCAATAAATCAATCTTGATACAAATTTCATCATCATATGCCCACCTATAAAGAGTGAAATAAAACAAAGGCTAGCCAGATTTTATTATGTTTCAGCATTCAACTATTCACGTTATGTAGAATCAATACTGAAAGTATTGTATCAGGAGTTAGGTGTACTTTAAACTTGGGGATAAACAAAATTTCMATTGATAAGGTGTTTGGCTTGCAACTCCCTCAACCCACTCTCTGGGCTAGTTGCCTGTTTCTTAATTGTTTACAGGATCTATGATAGCAAATCTAAGCTGTTGTTGATAAAAAAGTACCTTAAGTTTAGTGCGAGCAWCTTTGTCCCAGAAACTAAATTTTCCATCAGAGCCAACAGTGGCAAGAAGGCAAAAATGTACAGGATGGAAAGCTATGTCATTTACCTATGAAAAAGGCAAGTTAGATTTTAGATATTTATTACTGTAGAGTGCATGCAGTAATGTAAAACCATGAAATAACAACAAAGTTGATACTGACAAATAGTAGCTATTTAGTGACTTATAGTTGCTGTCACTCAACCAGAACATTCATTAAATAAAAGACACAAATGGTCTCTTGTGTATTTTTGTTTGTGTAATGAATGTTCTGGTTGAGTGATAGCAACTATTAGTCACTATTAGTACTATTTGTACTATTTGTCAGTATCAACTTGGTTTTATTTCATGGGTTTACTGCATGCGCTCCTTCTACTCCTTTACCTCATCATTATTCATCATCACCATCACMATCGCTCTCCTCATCATCGTCATTCACCTTCACCATTACTATCATTATCATGATGACAATCACCACTAAATCACAATAATTGTTGCCATCATCATAAAGATAATGAATTTACAATGTGATGTGTCTTACGATGGCCACCTAACTTATTTTTTTACTAGTTAGCCAATCAGACAGTGAGAATTTGTGCATTTGCACCCAAACTCCCTCAGCGTGACTGCCAATATTTCAAATTATATTGTACTCTTTGCAACAAAAACTTTTAAAAATGGCTAGTAATTTCCCTAGGTGATACCTATTTTGGTCTAACGCTGGACACTTTCATAAAAAGTCTTTTTATTGACAATGGAAACACTTGGTTGGAAAGGTAAAAGCATTTGTTGGATGGCCATGGTACGGTATGTCACACTGTAACTGGGACACATGACTGGCTGTTACAGTGAAGATAGGAGTAATAGTGTAGGAACTTCAATAGTGAGTATAGTATCTGAATCTAAATATCATGCATGGAAAAAAACAAAGAACTTTTGCTTACTGCATAGATATCTTGGACATTGCTTGCACCTGTTCCATTTGATCTGTGACACTTAAATGTGAAGTTATCTTTCCTAAAAAATATTAAGAAATATGTCAAGTCTATTAATCTAGCAATAGGTTGCTTTCAGTGATGACAGTCTTCTATYGTAATCCTCATCTGCCTTCCCACAGCACATTAACAAACAAAAACAAATGAACCAACGAGCGAGCGAGCAATCGACAACAAACAGCAAGCAAACAAACGAACAGACAGAAGAACCGACAAACAAACAAACAAACAAACAAATGAACAAACAAAATTATGAACAATGAACGAACTAACGAACAACCAAACGACTGACTTACGGGTTTTGTGGCTGAATAAAGTGGATGGCAACTCTTCCCTCAACTGAYCCCAAGGCAAATCCAACTGGCTGGTTATTTTTCTTAGGATCTTTGAAGATACTCACACACCGATTCTTTGGAAGTATAAATTTATAAGTAATTATTCTATTATGTTTGATCATATTATCTTAAGGAACTAAAAAATTAGAAAGTTACACAAAATAATTAAACAGTTACAGGCAAAAACATGAAGTGTGTCCCCTAGGTCTGCATTGTTCAGTTCATTATTGGATTGTTGGTCATTTCAATCTTCTGTCAATAAAATCAATCGATGAAATTTAAATTTCAACAACCAACACGTATGACTACGTATTTATCAGTTGGCTGCAGCTTTTCGGAATGTAGTCAAGGTTATTGATTGGCTAATTTTGCTGTTTGGCAATTCATTATTCATTTTTAATTGTCTTAAAGGTGCCACACAGTTTGAGAATTGAGTTTTTTTGATACATTGATGGARGATTGATAATAAAGAATGATTTGAAAAATCTTGTAATGAACTGAATAATGCAGTCTAGAGGGCATGCTTCATACTAATACGCTCTTCTGGTGCTTGCTTTCTAAAA